CCCACCCATCCACCTTCCACCTACCTCTATCTTTTCTCCTCCCTCCCTCAGCATATCTACCCCTCTGTCTGTCTCTTTCCTGGGATTCTTGCTAAAAATTTATTGGCTGTTTGGAAGAATTCACATGACTATTCTCAGAACAAGCGTATCTGTGTACTTATTTGGGTCTTCAGCATCTTTCAGTAAAGCTTTATAATTTATGCAGGAAAGGTCTAGTATACTTCTAACATATACATTCCTGGTATTTCATTTTGCTGATGCTTTTTTTTTTTTTTTTTTCGGAACCGGGGATTGAACTCAGGCCCTTGCACTTGCCAGGGAAGCGCTTATTCCACTGAGCCATCTCCCAGGCCCCAATTGCTGATGCTGTTGTAAGTAGTTATTTTTAACTACACTTTCTAACTCTTTCCTAAGCATAGAAACACAACTGATGTTTGCATATGATGTCACACACAGTGTCCTCACCCATCTGCTTTGCTGATTTATCCTGTGGATGGCATTCCATGTCTTTACCACGGTCACCTGTTGGAAGCTTGCCCCCAGTGTGGAGACACTGCGGGTGGGACTTTCCTAGTGGGGTTCCACTGGGGGTGCTGTGGTCCTGAGAGGCTCGTGTGGTACTCCTAGGACCTAGCTGGTTCCCCAGAGGACGGCCGCACATGTGGGGGCCCAGCTCTGTCCTGCTCTCTGCTCCTGCCTTGCATGTGACCTCTCCATCTCTCTCAGCGTCCCTGTGGTGCTGTCTGCCTTGAGGCCCTCCAGAGCCTCTACTGTACTGTTTAGACTTTTGGCCCCGGGCACCTCTTTGGCTGAGTTTACTCAGCCTTGGGTGCTTTATAACAGCAATGGAAAACAGGCGGATCTGAGGCTCCCAGAGATTCTATGTTTGGTGGGTAAGTAACGAAATTCTCTCTGCATGCAGACAGGACCAACTTCTCCTTCCTCCCTCATGTGCCAGGACCATTAAAAGGTGGGTCGGGAGTTGCGGGTGCCACCCGGAGGCTGGACGGCCACCTCCCTCGGGGGCTCCGGTTCGTAACCCAACAGTGAGCTGGTGCGTAAAAGCCGAGGCTGTGCACTGCTTCCTGCCTCGCCCTGCCTGCGGCTCATCCATCCTGCTGCTGACCATCATGGGACCTCACCAGAGGAAAGCACATAGGGGCACAGATCTCCAGCCGCCAAACCTGGCAGCAAAATAAACCTCTTTTCTTTACAAATCACCCAGGTTGGGGTATTGTGGAGCAGTAACAAGAAATAGACCAACACCTTGTCCAGGTCTAGGTGGAAGACCATCACCCCCGGAAGTACCCAGCTCTCATCCTGTCTTCCAGCTCCACTTAGGCCCAGAAGTCTGCCAGGAGCCACACAGTCTGCCCCTTCTGGTGCTGTCATCCCTCGGCCTCCGCCTT